GGGGAGGGATGTGCGGAAATGTGCTAAAAACTTCATATAATGGGGAGAGATTTCGGTCAAAAAGTAGTGATATTTGTTTGGTGTTCCTCTGTGTGTTTGATGGTCTAGGAGATAGCACAGCGCGGGGAGTACATCTTACTCGTTCAAATGCTAGTGGAAGCAGCTGAACGAAAGCGACAGGTGGTGACTGAGAACATACTGGCCATTGGGAGGCAAAGGCGAGGTGATGATGGGATTGGTGAAAGAGAAAGGAGGAGAAGTGTTTTTCGGAGTGAATTACCATTTACAGATGAACTGCTGCCGTCGCTAGTGGATCTGCCGTCCATACCTGCAGGTGTGGGCCGAACCTCGGATACATGGAGAGCTGGTAAAGCAACGAAGCTCATTCGTGTGAATGACGGCAAAACTCTGTTGTCGCTTGTGAGTCAACTTCAACCAAGTCCGGGGTGGTGAGTGCCGAGTGTAATTTGTTGTGATTTTCTTTTCTTCTCTTTTTTTTTTTTGTTTGAACAACTGCTGGCGAACGCTGCTGATGACATCATATACAAGGAAGGAGGACCACAATATAAGGATGTAAAAAGAAGAAGAAGAAAAAGAAGAAGAAGAAGAAGAAGAGTAAGAAGAAAAAGAAAAAGAAGATGGAGGCCAAGCAGCCCCATTTCAATATCCTCAAAAACGAGTTGAACGTCAAGGGCAGGGGTTCAAAACTTGGATTCAAAACTCAGATTCAAAACTCAGCGGATCCCGGTGCGTGCGAGAATGGGATTGCTTCGCGGATATTCTCCATGCCTGTGGCAAACTGAACAAGCCGTTCAAAGCCAACAGCGAATCCGGCATGGGGAAGGGTCTTTGTCATTTGCGGGACTTGCATTCCGTTGCTGTTCTAGGCCTACCCTCAGCCCGACTTCTTGCTCCCTGCCCAACACTCCACGGTTCATATACTGCATTGCCAACCTGCTTTCGCTGGTTTAATATCCCTGTCCTTGTGTTTCTTTTCTGTTTTTCTGGTTATCGAAGTTACTATGGAACTATTACAGTAAGTGAATACTGCGCATGTATGTGGCGGAAACGCAATTGAACGGGGTCATCTATCTGGGAAAAGAACAACAGTCAAAAAAAAACAGAATAGAAAGGAAAAAGAAAGGGAAAAAAGAAGAAGTGGGAAAAAAACGGAAAAAGGGGAAAAAACTTCAAAAAAGGGGCAAAAAGGTGCAAAAAGATGTGGGGCCCTTGGCAGGAAGATGCAAGTCAATCTGTCGTTTTGGGTCTGAATGGCAAGTGGATTGTCTTTATTTATATGTAAATTAAATTTGAATTTAGTTCAAATTTTCTTAAACCAGTTTAGATTTTCGAAAGGACCCAGTGCCCGAAGGCAACACATCAGTGCTCAACGAAATCTCTTCAGGAGCCATTGAGACTGTGCATACCAAGTTTGGAGAGGTAGGTAAACAGCCTACCCAACTTCGCCACACTTATTAAAATCGCTAATGTGAGAATTTTAGCATGCGGGCCGTCCGCGGACCTACTGGCCCGACGGCCCGGATTGCCCCGCGATCTTCAGATTTTAAGATCACGCGGCGACCCAGGCCGTTCGTGGTCCTACCGGCCCGATGGCCTGGATTGCCCTGCGATCTTAAAACTTAAAGATGGCGGGGCAATCGGGGCCGTCGGCCTGGTACCAGTTGGCCAACGGCCCAGATTAGAAGTTCTCAGCGCAACCGAATTTAGGGCTGCCAGGCGTGGGGAGAAACCAGTTCCAGGGGGGGCGGTCTCCTGTAGGGTGCAGCGGTTCGGCCCCGCACATGGCTTCCTATAGGGTGCAGCGGTTTGGACCCCGCGCATGTCTTTGGCAGCGCTTGGAGCCGGTGTATAGCGAACGAGACAACACTCACTCACACGGCCACCCGCCCGCCCGCCCACTTGAACAAGAGCATGCACGAACACATGCACATGCACGCACGCACACACACGCACACACACGAACACACGCACATGCACCCACACACGCAAATGCATCATGGGCAGACTGTTGGGGTTCAACCTCCTAGTGAGTTGGTGAAAGTGCAACAAAACAGTCTGGGAGAGACGTGCTTTTTTTTGGGGGTTCACACAAATGCACAAACTGTGGGTGGGTAGGTGTGTGTGTGCGCGCGCG